GTTAAGGAGAAAATTATGTGCTTACAGCATCTTATATGATCACATAATTGCCTCTACTATTTTCTCATGCACATTTGAATTACTGAGGTCTCTTGCTTTCAGCCTGAAGAACCCCTTAATCCCCTGTAAGGTAGGTTTTTGAGCAACAAATCCTCCCAGTTCTTGGTTATCTCATCTTCACCACTCTGAAATGACTAACCTATATTCAACTTTATTAGATCTAATTCTTAGTTGACTTCTTTCTTCTGACAGTCCAAATTTATAACTGGGGTTCCTCTATTGAATATTTTATACTAGCTATTGGACTTTTCAACTCTAGAACTTTCATTTGACTCTCTTTTATAATTTCTCTCTTTAGTGACATCCATTTGATTTGGCAGTATCCTGTTGCCTTATTTTACTACTCTGTGCTTCCCTTAAGTTCTGGGAATATATTTATAATGGCTAAATCTTGTGTGTGCATTCAAGAGTGTGTGCTTGTACACGGATGCGTACTTGTGTGGTGCGCATGGAAATGTGGAAGCCTTAGGTCAATATCAAGTGTCTTCCACTATTACTCTCTACCTTTGAGTGACAAGGTCACTCACTGACACTAGAGCTCAATGATTCAGTTAAACTGGCTGGCCAGCAAGCTCCAGAGATCTTCCCGCTTCCACTTTCCAGCACAGCTTTTAGATGGGTGTTTAGGATCAAAGCTCAGATTCTCATACTTGCATGGCAAGCAGTTTAAAGACTGAACAATCTACCCTAAAGCCTTTTTTTGTTAACTCTGACTCCTGTTCGCTCTCACAGGGACTTCTGTAGCTAGCTTTCCCATACCCACCTCCTCTTCCTTCCTTGTACTGGTCATATTTTCCCGTTTCTTTGCGTATCTCAACGTTTTTGATGTTTTGGATATTTCAGTTAATATATTTTAGTGACTCTGGATACAGATGCCCTAACCAGGGCTTTTATTTGGTGGGGGAAGGGCAGCACTCTGTCCTTGTGTTTTTGAGACAGGACTTGCTCTGTAACTCAGGCTGGCCTTGACTGTTCCATTCCCCTGCCCTCAGTCTTGAAAGAGCTAAGATTACAGACACAGACCATCAAATCCAACTTCAAGACTTATCATTTACTTATTTGTTTTGTGACTGGTTGGATGACTTTAACAAAATCTATTTATCTCACAGTGTGAAGGCCTGTGACTTTTCCTCACAGGTGTTTATTTGGGTAGTGAACCTTGAATGACATGCTTTAGTCTTCCCTTTCCATGACCATCTAGCTAGCTGTTAAATTCTAATTGTGCCTTGTTTTTCTAATATTTGTAACAATGCCCTGGGGCACAACCTGTATACAAACTAGCCTACTGATTGCTGGTTACTCTGAGGGAGCTGCTGAGGTAAATGTTTGATCTCTATTCTTACCTAAGAAGAGTTCCCTAATAATTTCTTGAAAACTGGAAAACATATAGCCTAGGCTGTGTCTTCATGAAATCCAACCTTTTCTCACTAAAACCTAGTACTCTCAAGACTGTCTTCAGGCATAAACTTTCCCACTGTGTTTCAGGTTGTTGGACCCTGAAGTCCATCTACTAGGAGGAGTCACCCCAAGATACCACTCTCACACCACAGTTGATGTAAAAGCAAGAGAATTTAATTCTGTCGCGACAGGGTCTTTCAGCATTCAAGAAGCCAAAAGACCCCAAATAGCTGGTATAGGCTACTTTTAAAGTAAAATGCCATAGAAACAAGGGGGAGGGGGGACTCATCTGAGGCACAGTGAGAGAGTGTTTGCTAGATCAGGCGAGGTAAGAGGAACATCTGTGAGTCATCCTAACCATATCCTAGGAACTGAGTCAGTATCCCCTAACCAAGGCCAAGGAACTGAGTCAACGTCTAAGGGTTATCTTGCCCCAATTCCAATAACTGAGTTCTATTTGGAGAACATTCACAAGGACTCAGGGAGATGGGAAGTTCCCAACATTCCAGTACATGCATGTGTAGTTGTTAGGTCTTTGGTTCCCAGGGGAATAAAGGAGCATTACTGCTGAGAGGCCTCAGAAAAGGCCTCAGACTTGTCCTAGAGTTTTTCAAGGTGAAGTTATGTCCTCTGGGTAAGATTAGGACAATCTGGGTTTTGTTTGTTTGTGGGTTTGGTACTAGGGGTTTAATCTGGGCCACCTGCACCAGCTTTATTAGAGCTATCCCCCCTAGTCAACAACTCTGTTTAAGTCCTGCTCCCTCCATTCACCAGGCAAAATCTGAACCAGGATTCTGGAGATGGGGATAGGGATAATGGCAAGCTTTTCTCTGTTCCTTTCCCCACCAATTTCAGGACCGAGTTTTTGGTGGAAAAAAACACAACAGGGTGAGGTTTCAACTTGCCTTTTCTGAGGTCAATAACTGCCTCACAAGTCAAGGTCAAGGAAAGAGCAGTTAGGTCCTAAACCTTCTGAGTATGCCACACCCTATTCCACAGGTAGGGATTGGGTAGAAAAAGGCGGCTCCACTCTCCAGGACACCTTCCTAAGACTCAGTCAGCCTCAGCAACAAGGATGGAACCTATCTAACTCATCCGAAGGGGGAAAGAAGCACTGCCAGTCTTGAAGTCTTTATTCAAACTACTACCTCTCACCTTATTGAATTTCCACTGATTTCTTGCTGTAGCAGTTGTTCACCCTTACAACTATTTCCAAAGTGTGTTTTCAAAATTATGTTCTCTAGTTTTGGAGTAGAAACTACTGTATCAGTGGAGCTCCTGATACAGTCAGCTAAAACCAAAGCTTAGGAGCTGAGTAGTTTGTCCCAACAGTTCCAAGAGCCTGTAAAGCTGAAATGATTGACTACTACACAGCCATGTGTACAATCTGGTAACTCCTGACTTACTGTCACTCCTACTAATGTTGCTGGGTAGCAAAGACTAAATTAAGTACCAGCCTGGCTAAAAGCTTAGTCTAAAGCTCAAAATCTTGAGGCACTCTACATATGTAAGAAGGAAGGAAATACTAAAGTTTTTTTCCACATTTTTTTTTTTTTTGGTTTTGATTTTTCAAGACAGGGTTTCTCTGTGTAGCCATGGCTTGGCTGTTCTGGAACCATTCTGTAGACTACCCTGGCCTCAAACTCACAGAGATCCACCTGTTGCTGCTTCTGAAAGCATCACCACCGCCGCTTTCAGAGGCTATTGCCACATTCTATAGCCCACGCTAGCATTGAACTCTCACAATCCTCTGGCTCAGTCTCCTAAGCACTGGGTTTATAGGTGTGAACTGACACACCTGGCCAAAAATATTTCAACAAAATGGTAAACAATAAAAATTAAAAAGTTAGGGGCTGGAGAGATGGCTCAGAGGTTAAGAGCATTGCCTGCTCTTCCAAAGGTCCTGAGTTCAATTCCCAGCAACCACATGGTGGCTCACAACCATCTGTAATGAGGTCTGGTGCCCTCTTCTAGCCTGCAGACATACAAGCAAACAGAATATTGTATACATAATAAATAAATAAATAAATATTTAAAAAAAAGTTAAATAAGATGGGGCAATATCAACCAATCAAACAATTCTTTCTTTCATCAGATACCAGCTGAGTGTCCTTTAATTCAATTCTGACACACTACTTGGAATGTTAAATCTCATGGGTTAGTGTCAGCCACACAACACAAGTCAGCCTCCTGTGTCTGATGCCAAGCACAGGCTTCTGACTAGCAACAAACTGAGGTACCCCACTGCCTCTTTGGGTTCAGTTTGTTTAGTAGAGCACCTCACACTCATATTTATCTATTTTTTTTTAAATCAGGGATATTACAAAGGACACAAGATTATTACCAGCTTTCTTAAATGCATAAAGCAAGGCATGTGGGGAAGGGTGAAGAGTTGTATGCCCACTCCTAGTACACATGTTCAGATGGAAGCTCTCTAAACACCTTCCTTTTGGGAGTTTATGGAGGCTTATTATAAAGGCATTATTGATTAAATCACTAGCGTTTGGTGATCAATCTAACCATCAATCCCATCTTGCTTGAGTGAAGAATTGAGAAGTCCCAACCTTAAGGATGCTAACTAAGCCTTTCTGGCAACCAAGCTGAATCCTAAACTAAAGCCAACTTATTAGCTCACAAGAAGACACTTATTACTCTGGACATATCAAGGGTTTTAGAAGCAATGGGCCAGGAAACCAGATCGAATATATTCCAGGGTCATAATCCTGACTGATTTTTTTTTTGGTGGTTGTTTTGTTTTTTGAGAGTTAAATGTATAAATGTCTGTGGATATAACCCAGTGATGGAGTGCCTGCACAGCATACACACACACACACACACACACACACACACGCTTTCAACAGATGATAGCTATTATTACCATGTTAGAAACTACGGAAAGTAAACGTAAGTCACTCTTTCCTCAGAGTTTTTCCTAGAAACTTTAAAGTTTTGGACAGGGAAAAGTACAAACTTTCAACAACTTTTTGGGTTTTTGTTTTTCGAGACATGGTTTCTCTGTAGTTTTGGAGTCTATCCCGAAACTAGCTCTATAGACCAAGCTGGCCTCGAACTCACAGAAATCCGCCTGCCTCTGCCTCCCAAGTGCTGGGATTAAAGGCGTGTGCCACCATGCCTGGCTAGATGTCATTTTTAAGATCTGGCGTACATAATAATTCCTAATGAAAAACTCCCTGGAATATTAAGCGCAAGACCTACACACTGTAAACTATGGAAGATTCCAGTTTTTTCCAATAACAAATGAATGAAAATAACTTTCAAGAAGTGCCAAACCCAAGAGACCCACGTTTTGTTTTTAAAAGGCAACAACTAGCTTTAACTTGTGATCTGGGCCTAGAAAGTCCTTTCCGGTTCTGACCATCTCCACCCTTGCCCAGAGATGGTATCTACAGAATCCCTCAAGCTTCCATCTCGACTGTCACCGCAGCGAGGGCGCCCCGTGGGTGGGGACGCGCACTCCTGCCGGACAGGCAGGGATTCCGCAGCTCTCCGCTCATAGTCCGTCGGGACTGGCGGCCGGTTACCTCGCAGTTGAACTCCATCTCGGCGTCCATGGTGACGATTCTCACAGTGAATGTCTTCGGCTGCTTCCTCTTGAGCGAGCTGAAGCTCATGCGGGAAGCGATGGCTCCAGCCATGGCGCAGGGTTCTGGCCTGGGACCCTCTCACCCCTAGGCTCTGGGTCTATTAGCCCCCCTGGAGGAGCTGCACAGGCCTCAGGGCCACCATGGTGGCCGGCTGGCCGGCCCGAAACAGACCTAGGCTGCGTGGGTCCCCAGCGGCCACCATGGGCCGCGAGGACCCGGCCCTCGGAGCGGAGAGGCGAGTTAAGGGACAGTCTCTGACGGCTGCGGGGACGGGACGCGGGCAGGAGCGGGCGCGGCCCGGCACTCGGAGCCTCGGGCTGGGGACGCCCGGGGACGCCCCTGGGCTGGAATCCTAGACGGCTGCGGCGCGGACGCCGCGCGCCTCTCAGCGGCCCGACGGGGTTCGCGGGGCCGCGCAGGAGTCCGGAGCGCACGCACGCGTGCGCGTCTGTCACCGGCTCGGCTCCGCGCGCCCTCGGGAAGAGTCCTCCACCAACCCCCACCTCCGCGACCCGCCGGGCCCCCGCCCCGCCCTCAGGCCACTCAGAACGCTACACAAGGATGCAACCTAACCACATCTCAGAGGCTATGATTGGCTGAAGTGCCAAGGAAGGCGGAACTTCCTCTCTGTCCCGCCTCCTCCAGGGCCACTTCACCAATTGAAAGTTGCACTGAGCCAGGGGCGCGGGGTTGTGCTCGGCGTTGAGTGGCTAGAGAGGTGGTCACTCCGAACGCTTTTGTTCGTAAAGCGTACGCCTACTCTAGCAAGACTGGTGGAGAAGCGCAGGCGGCGCCTTTCCCGGGAAACCTGTGGAAGCTCGGGCCGCACCTCACGAGGTGCTTCGTGGATGGAGACCGCCCCTAGAGAAACGCATCGTCCCGCCGAAATTCCATTTTGGCCCCCACTTACCTGCCTGATCCTCCAGCTTCTCTTTACAAGAACTCCAATTACCAAAGGGACCGTGATTGTCCTTCCTTACCTTCTGAAGTAGTTGAGGAATTTGAAGCTTCTTTAATACATACAGCAAGCTTTTTTTTGGTTTTTCGAGGCAGGGTTTCTCTGTGGCTTTGGAGCCTGTCCTAGAACTAGCTCTGTAGACCAGGCTGGTCTCGAACTCACAGAGATCCGCCTGCCTCTGCCTCCCCAGTGCTGGGATTAAGGGCATGAGCCACCCCTTATGGGCTCAGATCTTGCGATAAGGCTAGCATGGGTCCTCGGTCCCCTGTCTCGAAAAACCAAAAAAATATAGGGAGTGGGAGCCAGGCAGTGGTGGTGCACACCTTTAATCTCAGCACTCGGGAGGCGGAGGCAGGCAGATCTCTGTGAGTTCGAGGTCAGGCGATCTACAGAGTGAGTTCCGGGACAGCCAGGACTGTTACACAGAGAAACCTTGTCTCGAAAAAAGCCAAATACAAGCCGGGCGGTGGTGGCGCACGCCTTTAATCCCAGCACTCGGGAGGCAGAGGCAGGCGGATCTCTGTGAGTTCGAGACCAGCCTGGTCTACAAGAGCTAGTTCCAGGACAGGCTCCAAAACCACAGAGAAACCCTGTCTCGAAAAACCAAAAAAAAAAAAAAAAAAAGAAAGAAAAAAGCCAAATACACACACACACACTCACTTGGAATGGAGCTAACAAGAACAGAATATAAGAATTTATATGGGGGCTGGAGAGATGGCTCAGATGGTAAGAACACTGATTGTTCTTCCAGAGGTCCTGAGTTCAATTCCCAGCAACCACATAATGGCTCACAACCATCTGTAAAGAAATCTGGTGCCCTCTTCTGGCCTGCAGGCACACATGCAGACAGATGCAGACAGAAGACTGTAAACAAAATAAATAAATCTTTAAAAAAAAAAAAAGAATTTATATGTATGAAAATATCATGATGAAACCCAGTTCTGTATGTACAGAAAGTTTAAAAGGCATTATATAAATAACAAGATTGGATTTCTGTAGTATTCAGCAGACTTTGCTGTTAGAACTCTACCATAGCATAAGTCTTGCTCTTCTAGAATAGACCCCTGGAAGGAAATTGTTGCATGGACCCAGCAGGGAGGATGCCACCAAAATGATCCTTCAGGGTACTGTGGCCTTGGTGTGGGAATATTTTTATTGCTTCAGTTTTTCTCTGCTGATGAGAAAACCAGGTTGGATTCTTCTCTGGGCTTCCTGCAGAGACAACAAATAACCCAGAGCCAAAGATACTGCCAGTGAATAAGTGATTTGGGGAAGCCACTGAGGAGCAGCAGAGGGAAGTAGCTCACACAGCAGGAGCTAAAATATAATGTTGATGATCAATAATAGTTCATTTTTATAGAAGATTTCCTAGGTGCTAGGCTCAGGGCTAATCTGCAAAATACTCTATTCAAAGTTCCTGGGAAGATATCCAGATAAGATAGGCAGTTGTGAATCTTAAAAGAGAGGGCCAGGAATGAAAACAGATATAATGGGGGCTGGAGATGGCCCAGTGATTAAGAGCATATAGTGCTCTTCCATAGGCCCTGAGTTCAATTCCCATCACCCAAACGGGACAGCTCACAACAGCCTGTAAATCTAGCTCCAGGGGATCTGATGCCTTCTTGCTGGACTCCTCGGGCATCTGCACTTACATGGGGGTTCCGACACACACACACACAGACACACACACACACACACGTACACATACACACACGTACACATACACACACAAACCTAATTACAAAATAAAATGGGTGAGGTGGCTAAAGAGATGGTTCGGCGGTTAAGAGCACTGGCTCCTCTTCCAGAGGACCCGGGTTCAATTCCCAGCAATTATTTTAGCTCCCAGTCACCTGCAACTCTAGTTCTAGGTCATCTAAATGTGGTACACAGATAAACATGCAGGTAAAACACCCATACACATAAAATAAAAAATTATAGTTTTAGAATAGGAGCTGCAGAGATGACACAGAAGGAACGAGCACTAGCTGTGCCAAGTATGATAGTGCATGCCTTTAATCCCAGCACTGGGAAGAAGGGAGGGGAGGATCTCTGTAAATTTGAGGCCATATCACAGCTAAATTGTGAGTTCCAGGGCAGCCAGGCATACATAGAGAGGCCCTGTCTCAACAACAAAACAAAACAAACAAACAGAAAAGAAAAGAAAACACCACTAACAACAACAAAAAAGCCCTGACTGCTCTTCCAGGATACCCAGGCTTGTTTTCCAGCACTCGTCTGGTGGCTCACAACTGTCCATAACTCCATTTCCAGCGAATCCAATGCCCTCTTCTACCAACTCAAGCACCAGGCACACAAGTAGTGCAGACATACAAGAAAAACACCTACCCACATAAAAAGTTTAATTATAAAGTATCTTTAAGGAACTGGAGAGATGGTTAGGCGGTTATGACCACTGATTATTCTTCCAGAGGACCCACGTTCAATTTCCAGCACCCACATGGCAACTAGTTAATGTTTGTAACTCCAAGATATGACACTCTCACACAGACATACATGCAGGCAAAACACCAATGCACATATAATAAAATTGTAAAAATCTTTAAAAAATAGATATGGCCATTTGTTGTGGAATATTAACTTTTTAAAGATGTGTTACATTTATTTATGCTGTGGAATACTACTTTAGCCATGTAAAGTTTAACAATGTATGAATGTGTGTTTAATTAGGTAAAGATGTGTTGCATTTGTTTCACTTTGTCTGCCTAAGACACCTGATTGGTCTAATAAAAAGCTGAATGGCCAATAACTAGGCAGAGAAAGGATAGGCAAGGCTGGCCGGCAGAGAGAATAAATAGGAGGCCGACTCTAGGCTCTGGAAAGAGCAAGAAAGGGAGAGGAGGAAGGAGAAGAGAACAAGGGACATGCCTGGGGCAAGACACCAATAAGATACACAGAAGGAAAGAAAAGTAAAAATCCCTGAGGCAGAAAGAAGATAAAGAGAAACAGGCTAATTTAAGTTAAAAGAGCTAGCCTAAAAGAAGCCTAAATTAGGTCCAGGTCATGATTTGGAAGCTGGTTGGTGACCTAAAAGAAAAGCCTGATACTGCTCTTCAATTCCAGTACTCAGGAAGCAGAGGCAAGTGGATCTTATGAGTTCCAGGCAGCCAGGGCTACGTAATGAGACTGAGATAGCAAAGATTCACACAGAATTCTTTCAGTGGAAACACATAAAATAAGTGTTTTGTTTTGTTTTGTTTTGTGATGCAGGTGATGTAGCTAGTTCATTCTGTGCTTGCCTAGCATGCACAAAGTCCTGGCCCCATGGTGCTGCAACCCTATGATCCTAGCACTCCAGGTGAAAATGGGAGGTTCACAAGTTCAGGGTCATCCTCAACCATGCCGTGAATTTAACCGGACCAGTTACTTGTATTTTTAATTAAAAAAATAACCAGTTAAATAACATATTGTGATTTACAGCCTTTTAAAAGTAAAGTAATCTGTATACATTTTTTTTTTTTTTTGGTTTTTCGAGACAGGGTTTCTAAGTGGTTTTGGAGCCTGTCCTGGAACTAGCTCTTGTAGACCAGGCTGGTCTTGAACTCAGAGATCCGCCTGCCTCTGCCTCCCGAGTGCTGGGATTAAAGGCGTGCGCCACCACCGCCCGGCTTCTGTATACATTTTTTAAAAATTGAAGCCAGGTTTGATGATGCACATGTAATTTTATCACTCAAAAGGCTGAGGTACTATAGATGGCAGGAGCTTTGAGGCCAGCCTGTGCTACATAGCAAGAACTTGTCTCCCAAAGAGGAATGGGAAGGGAATGAGTTGGGCAAGTCTGAGGAGAGAAGTGAGGAGTTGGGGCTAGATATGATATCAAATACATTGTTTGCATGTATGAAATTATCAAAGAATAAATGTAGAGCCGGGCGGTGGTGGCGCACGCCTTTAATCCCAGCACTCGGGAGGCAGAGGCAGGCGGATCTCTGTGAGTTCGAGGCCAGCCTGGTCTACAAGAGCTAGTTCCAGGACAGGAACCAAAAGCTACGGAGAAACCCTGTATCAAAAATTCAAAAAAAAAAAAAAAGAATAAATGTAAAAGGAGTTAAAAAAAAAAAAACAACTCCACTTTTGGAGATAAAGGCAGGTGGATCTCTGAGTTCCAGGCCAGTCTAGTCTATGTGGTGAGGCCCTTTCTCCAAAAATGAAAAGGAGCAGCCGGGTGGTGGTGGTGCACGCCTTTAATTCCAGCACTTGGGAGGCAGAGGCAGGCGGATCTTTGTGAGTTCGAGACCAGCCTGGTCTACAAGAGCTAGTTCCAGGACAGGCTCCAAAACCACAGAGAAACCCTGTCTCGAAAAACCAAGAAAAAAAAAATGAAAAGGAGCTGAGGAGGTGGTTCAGTTAGTAGAGGGTTTGCCTTGTTTGCATAATGCCCTGGGTTCAATCCTCAGCACCAAGTAAATCTGTTCCAATAATTCCAGCATTCTAGAGGAACATCAGAAGTTCAAGGTCATCCTCCCTAACACAGTTCCAGGCCAACTTGGTATCTGAATCTAAAAAAAAAAGGGGGGGGCAGAGAATAGGAAAGAAAAGAGGAAGGGAATGGGGG